CGGTTTTGTTGTTGTTGTTGTTGTTAAGAAAAAAGAAAAGTTACAAAATGCTAAACACTAACCGAAGACCTGGTAAGCCAGATGCTAGATTGCTTACAAAGCCTAGTTCCACGATAAAACAAACTGAATTGCTACAGAAGCCCTGCTCGCCAGCGGGTTAGTCACCCTCATGGTGCCTGCTGAAATCAATTAATAGAGTTCTTGGTGTCTGCCCTGATCATCATCCAGGCAGAGGAAATTTAGTTGATATCTTTTTCTCCCTCCCCAACACTGAAAAATAAGATAAATAGATCTATCTCCATAATTTCACTTAGTCATTTAGTTCAGTAGCATCTGTTTATCATGATTTACAAGAATTTGGCTGGCAATGAGAGCTGCTGAAAGCATTTGCATAAAGGAATTTTATTTACATATTTTCCTCCTTAAGCACCAGAACACTCAAAATGGTCATGTCTGGGGAGCCCAGGCAAGCTCCAGGGGTAGCTATTACTTTCCTAAAGCCACACTGGATGGAGGAGAAGGAGAGGGAGAAAAAGAGGAGGAGGAGGAAGAGGAGAAGAATTTACAGCTACTCAGTTCAGAAGATGAACTCGATGAGGGCTGGTCTATTAAAATATGGGCAACCAACCCAAAACAAGAAAAAGATGAAAGATTCCTGTCATTGTGTGAAGGATGCGAACTTGGCTTGTTTATCCTAAACTTATCCAAAAGTCTTCTATGCAGCCAAGGAAAGCATTCTCCATAGTTCTCTGGAACTTTCTTTTTTTTAATTAAATTTTTATTTTTTTATATTAATTATTTATTCACGTTGTATCCCAGCTGTAGTCCCCTCCCTCATCTCCTCCTATGTTCCTCTCCAAGTCCACTGATAGGGAAGGTCCTCCTCCCCTTCCATCTGACCCTAGCTTATCCGGTCTCATCAGAACTGGCTGCATTATCCTCCTCTGTGGCCTGGCAAGGCTGCTTCCCCTGGCAAGGCGTTCAAGCTAAGCTAGAAGGAGGACCCTGGGTAAGATGATCAATCCTCACTCAGAAAGGTAAACAGGGCAGATATTGGAAGAAGGAGAAAACAGGAAACAGGACTGTAGCCTACCATAAAGGGCCCCTGAAAGACCCTACCCAGCAGTGTATCAAAGCAGATACTGAGACTCATAAACAAACTTTGAGCAGAGTGCAGGGAATCTTAGGAAAGAAGGGAGAAGATAGTAAGACCTGGAGGGGAGAGGAGCTCCACAAGGAGAGCAACAGAACCAAAATATCTGGGCACAGGGTTTTTTTCTGAGACTGATACTCCAACCAACAACCATTCATGGATATAACCTAGAACCCCTGCTCAGATGTAGCCCATGGCAGCTCAGTATCCAAGTGGGTTTCGTAGTAAGGGGAACAGGGACTGTCTCTGACATGAACTCAGTGGCTAGCTCTCTGGAACTTTCTATTTAATTTCATGCTCATACACTAAAGTATTCTTCAGGCCTCTTTCTATAGTATTTTGGATTAAGTGTGTGTGTGTCTGAGAGAGAAAGAGAGAATGTACGCCACAGCACACATATGGAGGTTCAGAGAACAACTTGGAGGGGTCTTTCCACCACGTGGGTTCCAGGGCTCAAATTCAGGTTGTCAGTTTTGGTGGCAAGTGCCGTGACCTGCTGAGCCTTCTTTTCTTCTTTTCCATTTTATTCTTTGAATAAAATGAATTGTAAGCATCCCTTGAAAAGGGCCATCAGGGCTCACTGCCTGGGCAGCTTCCACTGACATGACCATGGAAGTAGTTGGGTGGGCAGAAGTACGTGACCTGGTGACCTTACGATGGAGAGTTCGCCCAGAGATGTAACAACCAATGGCAGGCTCTGAGATGGTGTGGAGGAGCCTGATTGGTCACCCAAAGCTATATAATATATAATGTGCTCTCTCCTCTGGCACGAGCAGTCTGCATCCCCATTCACCCGACTTCTGAGTGAAGATACGGTGCCTCTGACCCTTAGGAGGACAGACAAGGAATTATGCTCATCTCCTCCATACAAATGAGGAAGGCACAGTGAGAGGGCCGGGCAAGTACACACTGTAAGAGGCTACAGAAACAGACATGTGGGCAGGCAAGGCAGCGAATATCTGTAATCCCAGGTAGGAGCAGAAGGATCAGGACATGAAGATCAACTTTGTTTAACAAAGAGCAAAGCAAAGCAAAACAAACAAGTGTTACAGGATATTTGATTATCGTACATAGAACACCTAATTGTTAGCCGGCGGTAGTAGCGCACGCCTTGACCACAGCACTCACAGGCAGAAGCAAAATAGATCTCTGAATTTGAGGCCAGCCTGGTCTAGAGTTCCAGGCCAGACAGGATTACACAAAGAAACTGTCTGAGGAGGGGAGATGGGGGAGACAACAAAACAACAACAAAATAAGAAAACCTAATTATTAGCAAAATTTAAGAGCCTAAGCAGATATGCCAGTGACCTGGTTCAGCCCACCAAGGTTGTAGGGAAGAAGCTAGAGACATCTTATATAAGCAACTGGATCTTTGATAGAACTCTAGATGTTTTTTGGCTTGGAGGAGCTCCTGGTAAGGGATAGAGTTTTCTCCCTGGGCTTACAGGAACAGCAGAGAAGCGGCTGGCAGGACACAGGTAAAACAGAATTCTTAACGTGTGTCCTTGACAACAGCTAGACAATAAGCCATTCCCAGCAACCTGACTGTTGTTTCCCCAAGGCGTAAGAACACCTACAGTGGACTGGGAAGCTGCACCCTGGAAACTCATCCATGGACAGCAAGCTCAACTGGGAGTTCCACTGACTGCCTCAACCTCCCCACGAGGCAGTTGCTGCTGGATATCTCAATTTGACACCCTGGCATTGCAAAACCCCAAAAGTTTCCAAAGATACTGAATAAAAGCTCTTTGCTTTTGTCACCTTTGTTCCTTGCTTCCTCAGAGGCTTTCAGCACCTAGAACCGTATGAATAAGTCTATCCCTAAACCTGTTGAGCCCTTTTCATTCCTTGGCCATCTTCCCACTTCCCTGCTACTGTCTCCCTCCAAGTCCCCAAGCTTTTGATTCATGGCCAGGGCCTAATGCCTTTGGTTTCGCTTCTCTTTCCCCAAGCCTATTTACAGGATGTCCATCCATGGAGCTAAAGCTTCTGGTTTCCAACATCCACACAGCTAACCCAACATACTGGACTGGCATCACCCCACATCTGCACTTCCACCCAGCATTTTCTCAGCCATGTTAGACCCAGCACCTAGCCTCCTCTCCAGACAGAACCTAATTACCCTCCCAGTCTCCTCTTGTTCCTGCTAAGGTAAATAAATAAAACTTAGAACCCTTTCCTGGGGTTTAGGACCAGACTGGGCAATTAGAGACCAGGTGCCTATCTCAAAGAACAGGAGGGGTGCAGCTATGATTGAAATTGGTAATGAGAAATTGCTGTCTTCCTCATAGAGGACATTTTTTGTTTTTATCCCAATGGTTCCTCTGCCAGACCACATGGCTCCTTTAAGGGTAAGACGTCACAATTAGCTGTTGCAGTTATTTTAAAGGAAAACCGTATCACTTATACCAACATCAAAAATTACACAGATCAATTGGGGGTCTAGCTCAGAGGAGAGTGTGGAAGACACAGGGTTCAAACAATTACCAGTCACAAATTCCTAACAAACCAATTTACATGAATTCTAACATTTAAGCTCCCTGATTAACATACTCAACCAGGTTGATACAATTTGGTTTAAGAATCTAAAACTTGATTTCTAACAACTTTTTTTGAATCCATTTACCAGGCCAACAACCTTCAGCTTGGTCCTCCCCAAGTGTGTACAAGATAATCATGGCTTCCCAACAAAGCTTGGTATATACAGGACACGGGCTTTTTTTCCTCTGAAGTGCCAAGCTGGACATAATTTAAGTTTGTGGCTTATAGTGGCCATATTGTCACATCCTTGAGCACCGCATGCTTCCTAGTGCCCAAGGCCAAGAAGGCACTATATCTGGTTATGGATGTGGTATACTGCCAATATGCATGCTCCGTGGGTCCTCCAAAGAGGACTGAGTCATCTCTCCAGCCTGTCACATGCTTTTAAGAGGAAAATAACACAAATGATAAAACTTTACAAATGTAAAAAGGTACACGCAGACTGTAACCTGCCAGCTGTGGCCAGAAATTTAGTTCTGAGCTTCGTGCGGGGTGGGGGTGGGGGCTGCGTGGCTCAACAATGAGCAGTGCTTGCTTCTGGCCTCCTGAGGACACATGCATGTAACGTGCACAATGACACCCATGCAAACACGTAAGTCCAATCGTTTTTAATAAAGAGCTTTTTTGAGGCTTGCCTCAAACTTGCAATCCTCCTGCTTCAGTGTCTTTTGACAAGGATTCCACGCATCACCATGCCCAGTTCTAAAGTTATTGCTTTTTGTGTCTCTAGTTCTCAGCTTTGCAACCCCAAGGCATGGCACACATTAAGTATTTGAAGAGTGGATAAGAGTGGCCAAGTATTGTGAACAGTAGGTATGCAAATGATAAAGGTATGCAAATGATAAAGGAAAACATCTCAAGAACTTCCTGAGCACATGCTGTGTTCTGTCAGGTTGGCTGTCATAGCCCACTTTGATTCCAGCCGAGTCATATCATCAAATTAGACCCTGTACACAGCTGCTGTGACCTCAAAAACTTATTCTAAAAGAAAGTTCTAGAAGAGGCAGAAATGCCCTTTCAAAACACAAGAGGAGAAAAGGGTAAGTAGTAATATTGAAATTAGATAGATAGATAGATAGATAGATAGATAGATAGATAGATAGATAGATAGGCAGCCTGCAGAAATGGCTCAACAGTTAAGAGCACTGTCTATTCTTCCAATGGTCCTTTGTTCAATTCCAAGCAACCACATGGTAGCTCACAACCATCTAAACTGGATCTGATGCCCTCTTTTGGCATGCAGGTGACCTGCAGATAGAGCAATCATACAAGTAATATAAATAAATAAATACAAAAAATAAACTCGTAAGTTAGAACAAAATGTTTTATTATTAAAATAAAAACCTTTGTATAGAAGCATTAAGAGCAAAAGCTGTATTTACACTGAATGATTCAAGATCCAACTGAGTATCACAGACCATGGGCACAGCAACAGGTTCCATACTTAAGAGACCACCCACACGCAACGAACAGAAATAAAGGAAAAAGGGGCAAGAGAATGACTTGGTACCTACCCAGCAGCTGAATTGGCAAACAACTCATTAACAAGTGGTTCAAAGCTACCCATCTCTAAAAGGTCACGTCTCATTGTTACAAAAGTGTCTAAAACCTAAGCAGAAACCCCAGATGCCACCCTCAGGGTAACTTCTTCAGCAAACTGCCAGGACCAAAGCGAAGTTATTAAAATCAAGTTTCTGAAGCATGACACTAAGATTTCAAATCAGCCCGTTCCAGTCTCATCATCTTAATTTTCCAGAATGCCCTTCGTACAGCAATTTAAGCTCTGGGTGACTGTATAAGACGATGACTTAACCACTCTAACTTTAAAGACGGTCTCAGCAGCAACCCAGTCACAACACACAGGAGTTTTATTTCTCCAAAAGGCCACTCATGTGCTAATTCCACCTCCCAAAACGTACTCATTTCCAGCCCTGTGTGCTTTGCTCTTTTCCATTTAAAACACCAGCCGGCATGAACACCAGACCCCGAAGCGCCTACGTGGGTTCTGTGTAAACGAGTTAAAGGGCGTTCTCTGAAATTCATCACAACTGTTGGATGGCACTACTACTGTACCCAAGCGCTGGGTATGTCCCGAGACTCTTCCAACACCAAACAGACCAACGCTTTTTCACACTGCCGCTTAGAAGGATCTTGGAAACTAAACGGTGTCAAAGGACCATGGGACGAGGGAGACAGGGCAAGCTCTGAAAACTACACGTAGCCGGAGCGTAGCTAGCAGTATGTCTTCCGTGACGTTTCAGAAACAAGTGTGAGTCTAACGAGATTAACCGCACTGAGTTCTAAGACAGACTGAGCGCCAAGATTCTTACTCGGGCCTCCATCAGTGACAACATCAAGAGCAGGAGCCTTGAGAAGCCGAAGGCGGGCAGCGGGAATCTTCAGGCTCTATGCTTGCATCTCAAATTCCTGCTTCAGGCTGTGAAAGACAAAGGCGAAGAGGTCAAGTCGGTTTTCAACCATTTGTTCGTTTCTTTAAAAACTGTTTTTATGGAGCGCTAACATAACGTCAACACGCACGTCTCAGACACACAACCTGAATTTTACGCTCCCACTCCGTCCAAATGAAGATGCATTCCCCTGCCGGACTTACACCATCTTTTATCAAGGCACATAAATGAATGTAAGACTCGGATATGAAAAAAAGAGTATTACCTTTTCAAGTAAGCATGCACGTTCCCAAAGCCATGATACTTGGCTAAGTACACGAGGACTCCGGTGGCACACCGCCCGTCACGCTGGCGGCAGAAGCTGCAGTTGCAAATCCCTCGGCAGGGCGGGCAGTGCCAGTTCTGAAGAATTGTGGGAAAGCACCCTGAGACTAAGCCTTGCTTCCAGTCCATGCATCTGCCCCCACCCACTTTTTAGCCTTTAAAGTGCTTAGTATTGACTAAATATCTGTGATTTTTTTTTTCTTAAAAATAACTAATCATAAAATAGGTCGGAGTTTTTGGCCCTGTGAGAGCATCTGCCTAGCATAAGGCCCTGGGTTTGAGCCCTGACAACACACACGCAGAAAATTATAAAATATAATTCAAGAAAATTACACAACCATCAGCAGGGATGGAGAGAATCAACTTCTCTGAGCAGCAGCCCCAAGCTCTCTGGACAGAGCTATGTCCACCTTGGCCTCCTGGCACCAAGAACTCAAGTCCCTCCCCAACCACCCAAGGTACCTACCGGGTCCAGCAGCGCATCCTTGACCTCTTCCCCATAGCGGTTTCGAAGGCAGGGACCACAGAACTGGCCACGGATGCCCCAGCAGTCTGAGTTTCTGCAGTTTGTTTTGGTATCGATGGTTTTCTGTCGACACTGATGACAAGTAGAACCCTAAAAGAAGGACCCGATGAGAGAAACAGCAAACAATGCTTTTTGTGGAGGAAAACAAGCAAGCCAACAAATGGCACAAAGAACATCTACAATGGTCAAAAAGGTCTTTGAAGGGTCATTTGGCACGTAGGGATCAAGTATGAAAAGTATCTCAGGCAAATGTACACTCTGTGGGTGTACATTTCATCACACCTACTGGGGTTGGGGGGCTCAGTGCCAGAATACTTATTTAACCCATTCAAGATCCTGAGTTTGATCCCCAGCAGGGGAAAAAGAAAACCCCATCCAAATCCACTTTTTTTTTTTTTTTTTTTTTTTTTTTGTCTCTTCCAAATCCATTTCCCACCTTTGGCTCACCACAGCAGCAGTTATTGAAAAAATACAGGCACCCTAACGATACACAGTAAATCCCAGTTGGGATGATTCAACCTCTAAATTAAGAAAGAAGATATAACCCTAGTGCAGGCCTCCTGGGCACATAATTTAATTCTAGACATACTGTTAAAACTTTTTCCGCGATGAAAAAAGTGCATAGGCACAAATGAAGGCCCAGACCATGATCCGGCGCAGCACTCTGGGGACAGATGCCCTGTCCTCTGGAGGGTTTCCTTGGGGCACTCACTCACCAGCGAGCGGCTATAGATCTTCTCCCGAGAGTTGCTGCAGATGTTCCTGATCTCCTCCTCTGTGACTTCCTCTACTGGGCGAATGACGTGTGGAAGGGTCATGGACCCAGGGCGTCGACCTCTGGGCGCGTCATCATCCTGAATTAGAGGGGTGAACTGAGCTCCCCTCCAGCTCCCTGCAGCCCTAAATCTCCAGGTGCTTTTCTGAAACATTTCACAGAAAACCCAACCTGGGAAATGCCTCTTGCTTACGGAGAGAGGGGGCAGGCCATGAGTTTAAGGGGAGCTGGCCAAATGTATGAAAAAAATTCCCAAGATGTTGAGAAGTGGAAAATCTGACTCTTGTCTGCTAAGACAGTGCAGCAGTAGTGACTTGGAGTGGTCTGGGACTGTGTGTTCCTGATGCTAAGCTTCTGGAAGATGGACAGAGGCAGCTAAAAGAGGTCCCGTGAGGACTCACATTCATGTAGCCGTCCACAGGCTTCCTCTTTCTCACAAGCATGTACTTATCCTCTTCCTCTTCTTCCTCCTCCTCCATGGGCAGAGCACCTGAGCTCCCCAGGATACGAGACCTTGACCTGGTAAGAGGTCGGGCCCTGCGCTCAGGGTTCCTCCTGGAAGCCACGCCAGGGAATGTGCGTCTCCTAGGTGCCTTTGACTGGGGAATGAAACACACAGACAGATCCACTTACTCCATTACAGAGAAAGCAGTACTCTGGCCAGTGTAGCAGAGCCAGAGTCCAAGATGCAAAGAAGGTCATCCAGAGCTCCGAGGAGGCTGTTCCTGGCCACCCCACTGCCAAACCCCCAAGATAAAAACAACTGCTCTGGGCTTGTCCAAAACAAGAGTGTACAAAAAGCACTTACATCCTTGGATCTGTGGCCTGGGAGGGAATGTCTTCCTGAGAATACGCCAGGAAAGCTTTCTAGTTCTGACATGAGTTTTGCAAGCTAAAAGGGGGAAGAAAGTAAACAGAAATTATAACTGGTGACAGTGGGCCATTTGTGGAAACAGTGCTAGGCTACCCCTTAACATTCTGTTTAATAAGCTGGTACAGTCAAGTCTCTGATTTCCCTACTGTGCTTATCCTAACTCTTGAGTTTTAAAAAGCAGCTGGAGGAGCTGAGAGGCAGCTCAGCAGTTAAAAGTTCTTGCTGCTCTTGAAGACCCTGGTTCAGTTCCCAGCACCAACACGGTACCTTACAACCATCCATAACTCCAGTTCCAAGGGATACACAACGGCCCCTTCCGGCCCTGAAGAGCGCCCACATAGCCCTCTACCCCACATAAATAAAAACCTTTGAAACACATCACCAAGTCTTCACAACTACGTGAAAACAGTTCTCAAAAGAGAAGCAAAAGAAATCACAGGTTGTGATACGTCTAGATACCCACCATGGCTTTGTTTTGCTTTATATTTAAAGCCCTTTTCTCCAGGAAGTTCACGCCATCTTCTTCTTCGGAGTCAGAATGGGAGTCGACTGCAGAGTTCTCGGGGGGCTCTGCGGGGACTGCATTTTTGTTGGCTGGTCTCCGGGTGCGTCGTGCCGGGAACTGCATTGCTGCCCTGAGAGGCCCGGAGTGCCGACACTGACTTCGGGTCCTGCAGCCTACCCTGTCAAACTGCAGTTTCCGGTTAGACCAGAGCGAGAGAGTCATTAACGACCTGCCGATTGGCAGACAAGTGGCACCAATGACTACTACAGACTCCCTTTGGGAAACAGGACAGCAAATCAGTCTTAACTGGACAGCAAGGAGCATGCGTAACAAAGTCAAGACTTGCAAATGAGCACAATGGGAGACTAGCTCCACCCTCTCTGCTGCTGTCTCCCTCACTGTCCCGGCCACCCTCACAGTCCTGAGACCTATGCTTCTAGGTAATTTTTTTAAACATGGAAACTCCTGCACCCTTCTTCTTCCTTAAAAAGAATCCTTAGATATTTTCAGAATATCCTCTATGGTCATCCATAAACATGGTTTCAATGGTTATGATAGTATCAAATAATATCCTAAACTGTCGATTTCCATTCATTATTATTCATATATATAAATATATATATTACTTAAATTTTATATATAAATATATATAAAGTGTTTTTTTTTTTTTTTGAGACAGGGTTTCTCTGTGTAGCCTTGGTTGTCCGGGACTCTCTTTGTAGACCAGACTGTCCTCAAACTCAGAAATCTACCTGCCTCTGCCTCCTTTAGTGCTGGGTCCAATTTAATTTTAATTGGGATCAAAATATACATAAAAATTACTATTTAAATACTTTTTAACTGTGTGGCTAAATGGCACCAAATTATTTCTCAATATTGTGCAGCCCTCACACATCTCAAGAGGTTTATCATCCTTAACTGAAACTTCAGGTCCATTCAACAGTAAGTTAAGTCCCAGACATAGGAATCCCGAGCTAGCATAGGCTCCACAGCAAGTTCTGGGCTAGCTTGAGCTAACACTGCCAGATCCTGTCACAAAAGCAAACAAACAATGGAATAAGCAAAAACTCCCAAAGCTTCCACCAGCCAGCCCCTGGCAACCACCATCTGTCTGTCTCTAAATCTAACTACTCTGGGTACCACTCAAACGAACTTTTGTAACTCAAATCTGTGTCTACATAAAAGCTTCGGATGTGAATGTTCACATGCATGTGGGGTTTAGTCCTTGACCTTACTAATTGAGACAGGATCTCTCACTCAAACCCAGAGCTCAGTGATGTGATTCATCTTGCTAGCCAGTTTGCTCTAGAGATCTCATCCCTGCCTGCCTTCTGAAAGGCTGGAATTACAGACAGGCCACCAAGCCCACTAGGCATTTATGTGGGTTTCTAGATTCGGAACTCCTGAGTCCTTATACTTGGCAGGGTAAGCTGGGCCATCTTCCCCAATGCCTCAAAAAAGCTGAACAGGCTGAGGATCTCCTTCAACGGAAGAGTCTCTGTTTAGCATGCCTAATATCCCGAGTTTGATCTCCATGGACAGCAGTTGTTACTTCATGTACTTCTAGTATACATGGGTGGAGATCACAAAACAAAACTTTCATGAATGCTTGGCTCTTTCAATCAGCTGGCACCGTATTCATCACAAGTAATACCTACACAGAACTAGGAGACTGCCTGGAATAGTCAAGCCACAAACAATGGGTCACATCCAGATCTGTAGACTGGTCCCGGCTAACGGCTAACAAATGCAGTCAACACCAATGTGGACCCAAGTCTTTTACTAGGGGAAACAGGCACTCGCATAGATGGTGATAAATAGTTCTGGGTCAAGTGCAGCCGCAGCAGTGCCATTCAGGTGACGGCCAACAGGGAATGCTTCAGGTACGGTGACATGAACAACACACAGGTGACTCGTAACAGACACTTCCTTAGGAGAAAGTCTAAGCATGCTATGCTCACAGGATGGGACACAGCACAGGTGACAGCTGAGCGGGGAGGCAAGCACACACAGGAAAAGCAGACCAGAGAGGAAGCAAACAGATGCAAGGAGAGCCCTGCTTGTTATGATCTACACGGTCCTAAAAGGTTCTTGAGATGCGGCACAACTAGAACCATGGAAGCCAGCTCCATGCCAGCACTGGGCTGGGCACCTGCACATAGTGCCAATGTGGCTAGCTAGTGTTTAGGACATAGTGATTCTGTGATTAGGCCAGATCTGCAGCTAACGGTAACCTGGAGGCTAGCCAACTTTACTGAACAAGTTTCCAAGATTTTTCAGAACCTAAAAGAAAAAGCAAAATGTGTAAGACTGACAAGCAGGTCCTGATAAAAATGGCTTTAAGAAATAAAGAACACATTTAGTCAGGTCAACAAAATCTAGATGGACCAAAAGGAGAGTTATCAGGCATGAAAGGAGGAGGAGGCACAAAAAAGCAAATCTCTCCTGCCTCTCAGTATACCTCACTTCTTGATCCTGGTGAAATCCTCAAACTCACCATTCCATCTTGTATCTCACTCTCTGAAAAACTGCAAAATGGCTCATCATCAGAGTCGGCATGAAAAATGCTGGCCAATTCGTTAGTGACATCTGGCCTTGGTTTCTGTAAAAATCCACAATGGCTTAATGCTTCTTGCACCTCACCCTTTGAAAAGCCGCAGAAAGATTCATTATCAGAGTCCTCATAAAAAACATTAGCCAGTTCTTCACCTGATATCTGACCTGAATTTAGGTTTCTGTAAAATAAATAAATAAATAAATGTGGTTGTGGGTTTTTTTTTTCCTTTTCAAGAACCAATTTTCCATAAACTGTGCAGAGAGCAAATCACATTTACAAGTGCACTACAAGAGAATGGCTTTTGTTACAAAGAAAAATGGTTCAGAGGTTTACAAATGATTTCTGAGTTGTTATAGCAAGTCATCAGTCGCGTTAGGTTAGGCGACATTTCAAAAGGATACAATAAGCAGCTAATCTACCTCCCACAATTACTACCTAGAACCACAGCAAAGAGTGAAACGAAATTACAGTGCATGCCATATTTCCCTAAAGGCTGTAGAGAAATGCAGGCAAAAAGCAAGCCGTTTTAATCGTGCACAAAGCATTCTGGGGCATTTGGAGCAGTGCAGACTCAATCCTGTTTATTCCCAGGCAGCACTTACTGTGTTTGCAAAATTATCAGAAGCAAAGCTGTCACAACTGTCATCAGAGGATGACGACGTTTCCATGGAAATCATCTTCATATATCTGACATTCTTTAAGTTCTTTACTTTGAGAGCCTTTTGCTGCAAAGAGAAAAGGCAACACTATTAAGTAGGAAGCTTCCTGCAGTACAGGATTACTAGAGTCGTCATTTCTCAGTTTGGTAGGTTCAAACAGCAGAGCAGTAGATAAACATGTTTTTTTCAGACCTTACAGAGCAAAAGAGATTGGCAATTGCTGCCCCCCCCCCCCATAACAGATCAAGTCAGATCGAATTCTAACAAAGGATCTCTTTTGGAGAGCATTTTAATGATATTTATCAATTTATCCAAACATCTGCAGTTACTTCTCTTCCCACCTTCCAGTCCTAAGAACTCAGCATTATATTTAACTCCACAGAGTTTAATGCCAGCTCCTAAAATCCAACCTCATTTTTTCTAATTGAACTGTACTTCTAAAAGGAGATCTCAAAAGTACAAAATGACAGAGCAATTTTTCTCCCTCAGCCAAAAATCAAGCTAATGAGGTCTTTTTATGTAAGCTTTGGGCTCTGCACTGTGATGCTAATTTCCCAAACTACAAAAATTGGGCAGGTCCTGTGCTTTAAGATGGCAGCCATCCAAGCAGGCCCTGTTCCAATGAGGAGGGGTACAGAGGTGCTGCAGAGTCCTTACAAATCAAGTGTCATCAGCCCCGTAAACACATGGTACAAGAAGCTAAGTTCCTGGTCAATTAACACTCCCAGCCCAGGTGGACTACCTGCCACCACAGGAGCTCTCTATGACCATGGTCTCCTTGCAGCTTTCCCACCGACCCCTCAAGACTTGAGTGAGAAATTCAAGACCGGGGGCAGAGCTCAGTGGTAAGCATCTGCCTAGCAAGCAAAGTCCTGGGGGTCAATCTCCAGCACAAGGGGAGGTTTTTTTTTTAAGCCTTTCATAACGTCAGATTACCTGAAGATATTTAAAAAAAGCTCCATTCGTTTCCATTTACAGCCTGCAAATGTCCACCAGCAAATGTAAAAGGGACAGCCTGTTTTACATCTCTTAGGACATGATGACATTCCCGAAGGATTGCATCAGCTCTACATTCTTAAATGGAGTCTAGGAATAGCAGTCTGTCTCTGCACTGAGAACCTCAAGGGGCCCGTTCTGCCAGCCCCACAAGAGCCTCCAGAGGTGTCAGGATGGCAGAGAACGCCTTGACGTGGGGTGTTAAACTTCCTTCTCTGCCTAACATTTTGCAGCTCAGACTCTCACGTCCAATAAAGTTATTTCCTAGTTGATGGCAGCCCAAGTCCCCTCGTGTTCCTAAGAAGACACCATTCAACCACCTTGGGATGTTTCTGATATCCTAAAGAAGGCAGAAACCGGTGGTAACGGGCAGCTACAAAGCGTAAAGGTTGCATTCACAATACGTGTTCCGGCCCATGGGTGGAGTGTTGTTAGGAGCTAAATGGGATCTCAAAAGTCTCTGCCCCCTTTCCAGAGGAGGAAACCCAAGGCACCAAGGTGCAACACAAGCCAAAGAGCCAAGAGCTCCGTTAAAACGGCACAGCTCCTCAAATGATTCTCCTGTTGCTAAGCAATCTACTTCCATGTCAGCCTCGGGGAAGGTATTCCATTGAAAGTCGCCAGGAAAGAGGCTAATCTTTAACAAGCTAGGACAGACCAAGAGTCATTCACTAGGCAAATAAATATATCCCTGACGGAAAAGACACAGAAAAACAGAGCAAACGGTCATGCCTGAAGTGAACTTTCTTGGCAGACATAATTCTCATTATATTTATGGCGACTCTTTTTTTTGTTGTTGTTGTTGGGGGCCGATTTGCTAGCGATGTTTGCTTAATTCTTTGCAGCAAAGGTTATTATCGTTACTATCATTTAAATGAAAATGGAAAAAACAAAACAAAAAAAACCAAAACTAAAGCCCAGAGAGGTTAAGTCGATTCCTCCTGTCAGGTGCTCAAAACTGCACCTAGGCAGGTCAAATTCCAAGCTCACTTTCCCACGGGCGGAGATCGGTATCAACCACGACCCCGCCTACCCACCCAGACCTCCCAGCTTGGGCTCAGAACCTCCTAAATCTATTTGAGGCACGTCACTCTTCCTTTCGGCCCATCCCCCACCTACTCTTCAACCCTCTCCAGGGCAGGACCTCAGTTCTGGCTTCCGTTGGAGCAAAAGAGTAACGTTCCATTCGCTGCAACTCGCAGCTGCAAACGAGGTGGAGAAGGGGTGTAGGAAACGGGGGAGAGGCAGAGAAAGCTCACTCATGGGCCCTGGCGCACGGCTTGCATCGCTGGGTCCCTAAACCGCGCTTAGCCACAGCCTGGAACTAAAACAATACCCTGCTCCACGTGCACAACCCAAGTTCCCGAGAGATGTTTGCAGGGCCTCCTACGCCAGACCTGCGGATCCAGAGTGGTCAGAAGGGGCCGCAGAGCAGAGGAAGTGGGTCCCCGGGGCCACCAGAGCACGCGTGGATAGCCACGCACCCGCTGCACACCTTGGCCAGAGTCCAGCCCCCGGCCTCCGGCGCGCACGTGCAGCACGAGCGCACGGACCGCAGGCTCCCCCGGCGCCCCAGCGGGCGCATCGCCTTAGCCCCGAGTTATCCCGGGTGCAAAGACTGTAAGAAAACCAATCCGTGACTCCCCCCACCACGGCGACGCTCGGGAGCGCCCCAGGACAAGGAAGTGGCGCTCACCCGCCGAGCCCGAGGGCCGCGGCCCCAGCCCGCCCGCGTCTAGCACCCACCAACGCTGCCCCGATGCACCGGGCCGGATCTTACCCGCGCGCGGCGAGCTTCCATGCTGGCGACGGGAAGGTAGGCACTCGGAGCGGGGACAGCTAGCCGGAGCCCACAGGCACCCAAAGCCGGAGCAACCGGAGAGCCGGGGCAGAGGCGGGGCGCGCACTCCGCCGCCGGAGGGGCGGGGCCGCCGGCTTTCCCGCGCCGAGCCGCAGGTCCTGCCAGCTGACAGGACCGCTTCAGCGGCGTCCGAAGCGCCCCAGCCCTGGAAAAAAAAAAAAATCGAAGCGGTTCTGATCGTCGAAGTACACTTGAATGTCCTTGGCAAACGCTGAATGATCTTCGAAATAGTGGCGTCTGGGAGACTTGGTGCCGCCGGCTTTTTATGAAGCTGCGCGGTCCTGGGAAAGTGGCGCGAAAGTGGCTGCCGAGGTCCCGGGACTGGCCGCCTGATTTGCATACAAAACGGGGGCGGGTTAGGGTAGCCGAGACGACGTGGAGAGCCTGTGCCAGCGTTCTCATTTCTGCCGTGGCTGTAGCTTAATCTCTTTAGAAAGTGGGTAGATGTCTAAGAACCCAGCGGCGATACCACCCACAACCAGCTGATTTATCCCGCGCACCGCACCTCTTATCTGGCAACCACACCATTATCTATCTGAAGTCATTACATGTGTTAAATCCTGGAGCTTCCAGAAAGATTCCGAAGTCGACTGTTTTAAAGTAACAAACAGTCCCTTCAGGTCAGTAAAAACTTAGCTGGAGGGTAAAAAGTCTTTAGAGATTTATCTTTCGGAGATAAAAGCTACAGACGGTTACAAAGAGAACCGTCCTTTTTTTTTTTTTTTTCCCCCTCCAGGCATAATTGGGAACTACCCGAGTGAGTTAGAAAGACGTGTTTTTCCTAGCTTTTCTCTTCAAACCCAGCACACTGAGGAAATAAGGCTCCACTCTTTTTAAAGAGCAAAAAAAACCAAACAAACAAACAAAAAAAAAAACTTGCTTACAGAAGGAAAAAAAAGAAAAAACACCACCGAAATCACTGAGGTTAAAAAAAACCCCTTTAATTATAATCACGGATTTAAAAGTCTTTGAAGTGCATGCACTCACATTTCTCCTCATTTTAAAACTTTCCTCTTGATATTGAGGTCGCCACAGTCACACAGACACTCACACCCTTCTCTGGATATTGACCATAGAGACATAAATAAATAACTCGCGCGAAGACAATGGATTGGAAGGAGCTGCCCAAGGGTCACCCTCCCTCTGTGCCAGAGACAAAGAACTCCAGTGCCCGAAGTAGGAATTGAGAGAAGCAACTATTGGTTTGTTTGGCAAAATTCCTGAGTGCAGCCAGCTCCTCCATCAACACTTGTTGGATGAATAAACAACTAAGTGAATGCTGACCTAAAATTGTCCTTAGTACTGTGTGGTTGTGAATATAGTTTTGTCCCAGAACAAAGGGAACATTCAGGCCACTTTGCCCGTGTAAAGTTCTGATAAGAGCAGTCTTAGTCTTCTTGGGACATGAAAAAAATAATTTAGTTTACATGGTTTTTAGGATAAGATCTCTGCCCACCCCTTCCTAAGACAGCTCATCTTTTTAGTGATCAGGAAAATACACAGTAGACCTGGAAGTACGATTTGGCTACAAAAGGCAAAAACTTGAAAAGTCTGCTGAGAACAAGTTTAAGTGATAAGAATAGGGTCGGTTCCTATTAAAAAGAAGTAGGGTAGATTTCAGGCAGGGAGTATTGCAGGTTCAAACCTGTAGATTATGAAATCAATTCATTAGGCTTCAACTAGCATATTTCTATTTCGGTGTGTGTGTGAGCGTGTGGGTACATTAACTTAGTAATTCACTTGTGACTGGCGAGACTGATTAATACAAACTCTACTAAGAATCTGAAAGTACATAGCGTTGTTGACTGAGCGTACAGTCAACTTCTGAAAATCCATTCAGCTTGTTTTCCTGGGTGTTCACAGGCATTATGGACTCCCCATTTACTCCTCCCTCCAAGCCCGGGCAACAGTCCCACTCTGACTCCTACAAACTCAACTATGTAGGATCATGCAGCATTTATCTTTCTGTACTCCTGCATTTCTTTCTCAATGAAATAGAGCGTGAGCACAGGAAGTGTGAATATTGTTTCCTTAAAAGTTTTCACTTCTGTGCTTGTGTGTGTACTGTAGAAAACATATCTCCCACTGGACTTCACCATCAGGGGCTTTCAAGGTCCTGCCCCCTAACAGTTGCGAGGGCTGATACAGGGCTAGGGAAGCAAGCAGGTGTGTTATTCTGAGTACTGAGGATGCAAGGTCCAGAGAGTTTGCCTTCTGATGGAGGAGCAGAAGCACAAAGGAGAGTTTTTAGTATGATAACTTGCAAGAAGAAAAACAAGAAGAGCAGTGGAAAGCATTAGGAAGGAAGGATGCATACCTCTACAGAAGTTTTACAAGCAGGTGATACAGGATCAGAAATCTGACGGGATCAAGGAGAAAGCTATAGGAAGAGAGGAAGTTCGGCTTTCAGGCAGTGTGCATCGGGTTCCATGCCAGTATACAGCCAGGAGTCTCATCTGTACTGCTGAAAGTTAGGAAAAGAGAAAATACCTTCCTAGCTATGAAAGGTCTCTGCATTTATTCCAGGCATGATGGAAAGATGGTGAAGGATTTGTCAGGCTAGGGTGCCCCAGTCTGACCCCAGGGATGGTAGAGACTGGGGAGCAGCCGGCAGGGGATGAAAACTGGGGATGCATAAGATACTGATGGTCGTTGTAGAGCTTGGAGAAGTGTTCGGATTTGAGACTTGAAGTTGGAGCCAATTGGGTTGGAAGGGTCGTTGGCTCATTCCTATTAGTAAAGTATATCAGGGCAAAATATTGCAAACCAGCTAAGTGACGCTCATGTTTGTGTTCCATCACTGATATAAAAGTCTCTGACATAAACATGGAGGCAGGGGAGATGAAGGAGGAGAGATTTATTTGGCTTGGGCTTTCAGAAGATCTAGTCTGTCTTGACAAGAGGGTATGTCAGAAGATCAGTCTGTCTTGACAAGAGGGTATGTCAGAAGATCAGTCTGTCTTGGCAAGAGGGTATGTGAAAGGGTATGCCTGTTTACTGTACTCTCCTTTGTTTCATTAAAGCACCCTGCTAAATTTAATCCCCTCTGGAAACACCCTGAGGACACACCCAAACATGCATTTTAATAATCCCCCAGGCACTTCTCTGTGTCACCAAATTGACAAAATTAACCATCACCACCCTTCAAAAATGCCAAGACCACAGGAAGAGAATAGTGGCACAGACATGCAATAGAATTTAAACAATAGTTCAAAGAAATCGAGCATTTTCTTGCATCAACATAGTTGGCTCCTAACAGGATGTTGAGTAAAAAAAAAAAAAAAAATCAAACTGCAAATAGATCCAAGAAGGATATCCCTTAAAGCACAAAACAGACAAACTATGAAAGAATAAAAATCCCAACTGGTGGAATAAGATACACATTACATCTGAAGAGAGAGAGAAAGGAAGGAGTGGAAGAGGGGGAGGACGGGACTTTTGTGTCCTTCATGCTTTCTAAAAAGAAGGGGTAGGGGAGGGAGGAGAAGGAGAAGGCGCGTCTTCAGGTATGGTGGCATGTGCCATTATCCCAGCACTTGGGAGGGAGAGGTCAGGGGGTCTACAGTTCCAGACGGGCCTAGGTCATAAAGACAAACGACATGAAGCAAATATGGCGGATTAGTAAATGAGATGAGTAAGAGCACATGAACAGCTTTGTACTTTTAATTTCTGTGCTCTTTAAAAATATGAATCATTTCAAAATATTAAAGTTTCAGGTTTTGAAAAAAAATGTATGTGCCATATGTCGATACAGATATGGATAGACTTAAGTAGGCATTAAGTCTGATGAATGGGAATTCAGTGTAGGGTCACTGAGTATGTTTTCATACCAGTGTGAAGACGACACAAAGGAACAAGTGTGGAAATACAGCATGCAGGGAAAGATGAGGACTCTGGCTTCCACAGCAGTGGAAAGAAATGTCATTTCCTAAGCCTGGTGCATATGGACATCATCAGAGGGTTGGAAAACAGCCTCAGTAAATACTTATTATTAACTGAAATGATTAGAGTGGACTCTTAAATCTGTGATGCCTTCTAAATGACCAGCCTCCTGTACAGGGCTTTGAATTCCTTGGGTTTGTATGAACTTTAAGGATTGCTTGTGTTCACCTTGCACAAAGAATTCCATTGCCTCTTGTTTGAAACTTGATAGTGGGATTCTAAGCATTCAGTTACTTTTACAATGAGGTGAACCAGAGTCAGACTTCAACTTAGAGTGATTGGATTTTAAACAAAGAATACAACAAGGAGTAAAATATCTCATTTTCAGATGAGGTTTCTAAATAGTGCCGATGTCTGAATGAATGTTGGGTCTACCTACTTAGCCCTCAGACAGTAACATGAACCCAGGCATTAGCAAGCAAAGCTTTGACACACCTGGAGACAAAGGACCCAACAGGTTTTACTGTGTTGGTGAGGCTGTCAGGTCACAAATCTCTATTTTTCAATAACCCTTTAATTACAGATTTATCTCCCCTGTGTCTGTTTTCAGGAGGCATAAAAAGAAAAACTTATAATAGACCTCTGGCTGTAGAATGGTAGCTCAGTGGGAGGGCCCAGCCTCTCGCTACCCAAGGGCTCTGGTAGTTCACAGTAAGAGAGTCCAATCGTACTGGAATGCTTGCTAGTCATTCTGTGTCAACATTGCCTTAGTAGGTCAGTTTGCTGACATCAGGTACCTGATTACAGAAAAGTGAAGAAATGAATGAAAAGATGTGGGTGTTCATTTTTATAAAAAAGGAAATACATTGTTGTGGATGTTTTTGGTTTATGATACGTAAACATGTTTTTGTTAAAATCCCAAATTGGGGGAGTTTTCGTTTGCCTACACCTGTTAAGTGTCTCATTTGGAGTGTGGCCTTTGCCAGGTGGAATTGGTTGAATTCTGAGGACTTTGAAGGGTATAAATATGACAGCCCAGAGGAAGAAGGTGCCACTGCTTGGAGGAGGACTGTTTGCTGCCGGTTCGTCCTGCTGCTGCATTTGCTGTTTGCTCATTTGCCGGTTACCTGGACTTATGGATTTCTGGG